CGTGACCCTTGTTTATGCCCTGAGGTCATCTTAGGTCACGAATGGTATCTAACAGTTTTTCGCAAATAACTTTTGATAGAGGCATGCTAGAGCGATGAAAACGCCTTAGATGTTTTCAGCTCGACGATACGGATCGACTGATATGCAACATGACCCTTTCCGGTCAGGTCATGACCTTGACCTGAGGTCAAATTTTCAAGTTGACCTTTCAAGGTCAAGTTATAGTTCATTCGATGCGTCTTGACGAGAGGAACACGATGCCGGTAAAAGTAAGCTCGTACAAGGCTTGGGTCAAAAGTTATTGCAGAAAAACTTTTTCCGAAAAAATCGGCTATTTTTGCAGTTTTTGCCCCCTGAAGGCAAAACCGTTGACGTTAGGTCAAATCCGAGAAAATTACTCAGAAAGGGCGTTAATAGGGCTATCGAATGCGCTTTTCCGCGGCGCTGTAGCTCTATTGGTTCCCGAGTTATGCGTTGGCTTCTTGGAAATTTTCGACATTCGACCTGGAAATCGGCGAAATTTTGCCTTCTATGACATCTGGTGACCTGACCTTTGACCTGACCAAAAAATTGACCGAAGTGATTTCGTCATCATTTTTGACGCTCTTTCGAACGCCGCCTTCCGCGTATCGCTACGTGGCCCAGGAGCCGAGTTACAAGGAGGGGGTGTTCAAACACCCCCCCCCCCCCAGCAGGGCGTGGAAATCCAGGACCCCCAGCCGGGCGCGGGTTAAATATGACCGGTGTTTTCACATGAGACGCTCGCTCACTCACCATGTTCTGGGCACATTGACGGCCAGCACCTCTCGGAAGTGTTTGTCGGTCCTGCGCCGGTACTCGAGCCGGTCGTTCACTATCAGCCATATCAGCGAGAACTTGCCATTCCTCCGGTTCAACAGTGAATAGTCAAAAAACATGATTGCAAAGATTAGTTGAAATTATTCGAATTAAACGATTTGATGAGGATGATCTTGGATTCCCTACACCGGCGACTTTCACCAACCACCTGAAATATTAAGAAAAGCTAGCGAGAAACATTTGAATACACAACCAACCCCGGCACAGGGACAAAGGACGCCCAGGACATGCATAAAATAAATCGAATTACCGTAAAAAACAGTGAACGGGTTAATACATATAAATAATATATCATTAATAATAAATAATACATATCAATCAGAGCCGCGAAGTCGGAGTCGGGGTTGCCAAAATTTTACCACCTCCGTCTCCGGACCGGGATGGAGTCAATATCGCATCACACGGCTCAGGCATCCCCTACATACTCGTAGACCTGTTTGCTGGAAAATATTACGATCGATATTAGTCTTTCGAAGCCAGATTTTGTCGAAGCTATGGTAGGTAATAGGTTTTGACCTACGTTCTGACGAGCGTTTTTAGCGAAAAAGCAGGAGACCACGACTGCGCCAGAACCTGCGTAATGTTCTGTGTTTTATTTCAAATGTAAGGTCTTGGAAAGCTCAAAAGGTTATTCAGGGAAGATAAAAAGATCTCCGACACGAAGATAACTATCATGATGTGGGCTTTAACCTGCGAGTTGCTGGGGGGGGGGGGGCGTTAAACGCCCCCACTTTTTTCGCCGGGCCATAGCATAAAAACGCGCGCCAAATTTTGGGTACCTGTAGGGAATTGATTGCAGTTTATTGTGACAAAGTTTTAAAAAAAAACCGGTCGGAAAATTTTTGAGATATCGAGGTTTTAGTGACGTCATGATTTCTGAGTTTTCGAACAAAAACGGCATATGTTCAAAAAATCATATAAAATCACAGAATAGACATACAGACATGCCGTAAACGCCATTAGACTGCCAATGCTATGATCAATCAAATGGCTATCTTCGATTATTGATTATCGTTCCGCATTTTCCATAATCTTGAACTGAATCTTGGCAATTTTTCGTGACTACTTCACGACCATGATACATGAATTTCTTAAATTGAACTTTTTGAGCCAAACACGTACACATATGATAAAATGAATGTCACCATCGTGTTCTACGCCCCAAATTACCTATAAAACATGTGTCACAGGCTGCGAATATCAGTTTTGGTTTTCGAGGATATGTGCCTACCCGGTTGACCTGACCTTGACCCTGACCTATGCTTGACTGACCCCTACATGGAGCTGACACTCTTGTAGGCCTTATAAGATGGATTGTGCACCGTTTTCACAGAGTTTATGGCGAGAGGCGCCCATTGCGAAGTCCTGAAGTCCATGCAGGGGCGGATCCAGGAAAACTCCAAGGGGAGGGTCATGAATCGAAGTGGTGCCCCTACCTATACCCAAAATTAAAAACTCAACGGATTTCGTCCACTTAATTTTGGTGGTGCCCCGATTTTCAGTTTTTTTATTTTTTTTTATTTTTAGTCAGTATCTTAACTCTTACTCACAACCACATTTACCAATTGTAAGCAAGTATATATGAATGTGTTATGTGTATATATGTTGTGGACGCTGAGTAGTGAGTACTTACCAGGAACGTTATCAGGTAAGCGAATCGTTGTCAGTCCGACGAACTTGACCCTGGCGTCTAAAGGGTCTGTCCTTGACACTTCAGGCTTGTCAGGGGCACCAAAGTCCTTCCAGGGACACCACAAACCTGTCAGGGGCACCTACGGCCTTGTAGGGGCGCCACAGGCCCGCCAGGAAGCAGGGGCACCACAGGCCTGCCAGGAAGCAGGGGCACCACAGGTCTAGCAAGTATACACGACAGGCCTGTCAGGGGCACAACGGGCCTCTGTTGGGCCCATGAGCACCCCTAGGGGCAGGGGCACCACAGTCCTTCCAGGGGCACCGCAGGCCTGTGAGGGGCACCAGCGGCCTAGCAGGGGCACCAGTCAACACAGGCCTGCCAGGGGGGCACCACAGACCTGCCAGGGGCACCAGAGGCCTGTCAGGAGCACCACCGACCTCGCAGGGGTAACTTGGGCCTGTCAGGGGCACCACGGGCCTGTCGAGAGGCACTTCAGGCTTTTCAGGGGCACCATAGTCCTCTCCGGGCGCAGGGGTAGCAGGGGCACCAGAGGCCTGCCAGGGGCACTACAGGCCTAGCAAGGGCACCACTGTTCTATCAGGGGCACTACGAGCCTGTCATAGCCAGGCATCTCAGGCTTGTCAAGGCCCACGGGCACCACAGGTCTGTGAGGGGCACCAGCGACCTAGCAGGGGCACCAGTCAACACAGGTCTGCCAGGGGCGCCACACACCTGCCAGGGGCACCACAGACCTGCCAGGGGCACCAGAGGCCTGCCAGGGGCACCACAGGCCTAACGAGGGCACCACGGGCCTGTCAGGGGCACCTCAGGCTTGTCAGGGCCCAGGGACACCACAGTCCTTCCAAGGGCACCGCAAGCCTGTCAGGGGCACCAGAGGCCTGCCAGGGGCACCACAGTCCTTCCAGGGGCATTACAAGCCTGTCAGCGGCACCAGAGGCCTAGCAAGGGCACCACAGGCCTGCCATGGACACCACAGGCCTGCCAGGGGCACCACCGGCCTTGCAGGGGCGCCTCAGGCCTGTCAGGGGCACCACGTGCCTGCCGGGGACACTTCAGGCTTGTCAGGGGCGTTACAGTCCTGTCAGGGCCCAGGGGCACCAGGCCCGTGGTGTCCCTGCTAGGCCTGTGGTGTCCCTGCTAGGCCTGTGGTGCCCCTGGCGGTCCTGTGGTGCCCCTGTCAGGACTGTGATACCCCTGATAGGCCGGTGGTGCCCCTGGCAGGTCTTTGGGCCCCCGGGCCTCAAGGGGGGGGCCATGACCCATGTGACCCCCCCCCCCTTGGATCCGCCCCTGAGTCCATGCTACTGAAAGCCCGATTTCAGGTGTTTGACCTGACCTTGACCCGACCTGTGACCTCAAAATTCAACTTTAAAGTACTCATCTGAAGCGTCTCGTCACGCTCTTTCGTTTGCCGCCTCGTGCGTTTCGCTGCGCCTATTGGTTCTCGAGTTATCGGCTGGGGGCGTTTAACGCCCCCCCCCAGCAAACGGTGGGTGGCGAAATACCCCAGCAACTGCCGGGTTAAGAGAAATGACCGGATCAGTAGCAGCGAACACCTTCAATTACGGGGGGGGGGGGGGGCACTACCGACTTTTGGTCCCATTCTTTCCTGATGCAACGCTCAAAGGGCTAATGTTAAAAGAGCAAAATCAAGGGGGCCCGGTGACCCGGTGGCCCCCGCTCCGCTGCCTATGGTCCAGATCCGGAGCAGGAGTCAGAATGGGAGTCAAAGTCAATTTTCGAAGCTGGAGTCGGAGTCAGGAGTCACAAAAACATCGACTGCGCACTGATATGTACATCGACTGGTATGTACATCGACTGGTACATCGACTGGTATGTACATCGACATCGACTCCGCATTTTTTTTCCGTTCAAGCATGGTTTCGACTTTCGAAGAAGCGACATTGACATGCCATGCCACGACCCTCCAGGCTCTTCTTTCGGGGAAATTCAAGGGCCGAATCGCCCGAATCTATCGACCCTTGAATTTACATACCTACCTTTGGGCTTTGAATTACCCTTACCCTTGAATTTATACATTACATATTATACATTACATTACATTACATACATTACATATACATTACATGTATATACCAATCTATCCCCACTCCAATCCCGCAGAGACAGACCACTGTTCTGGATCCGCCTGTGGTAATATGACACCAAAATGACTAAAATGACAGCAACTAGCCTTCTTTTGGATAAGCAGGATAGTAAAGACGACATTTGTAGACGACATAAAAAGCCAAAGATAGTATAGATAAAACCATCAATACAACGAAATACCTATTGATTTCGCGCCGCGCTGGCGCGGGATGTCGCGCCAAATGTTCTTATTTCAATTTCGATTGCAGGCTTAGGGTTAGGACGGAAGCGCATAAATTCAAATACCCATAAACCGTCACTCAAATTCTCAATATACCCTGGAAAAATCAGCTTCCACTCCAAGCGAATTTGAGTAAAATCAATTAGATTAAAATAAAAAACAGATATGAGCCGCAAAACACACACACTCCCAATAATCTTGAAATCATTTTCAAAACTTTTGTTGACAAATCAACCGCTTATGACTTTCTGCTCGTCAAGTCTTTTAAAAATAAAACGATGCATATTCTGCCATGAAAAAACAAAATGAATAAAACTAAAAGTATTTTAAATTAATTTAAACCTTCACTTCATTTAAACAATATATTTGCAACGGAAAATATTGAAGTTGACTTCAAAACACGTCGTAACTTATTCCGGCCGTGCCTAATTTTAAAAGAACAAGACTTTTAGAGCAGCAGCTTTTTTCAGTTATGCAGTCCAAGGCTATGTAAACCGTGCACTCGTCAGACTGCAGTCTGATGAGTGTCATGAATGGGTGTCTACTGTTTATGAGCCCGCATGACTCCAGACTCGCATGACCCGCTAGGCAGCGCTTGCTACGAATGGGACTCTATGTGCGCGACCTTGCCCCTGCCCAGTAAGACGCTAGTTAAAGGAAATAGTTCACATTTTAACATGGGTTTTGAACTGGAATAGCAGTTCCGTAGCTTGGGCTGAGACGAGCATAAATCAGGAGCTTTTACAGCCCAACGATCACCCTAGGCAAAGATATTCTATTTCTCGTTCCGAAAAATGTGTCTTGCGTTGAGGATGTGTGCCTTGCATATATTCGCATCCAGTATGAAACGAGCATGGGTCCCGAAAATTCTTCAGAAACTAGAGAAATTATCTACGAGAACTCTAGAGAAATTCGCTCCAGTGAGGCGCTCCAGTAACAAAAGCACGAGCAGATCGCCCAAATCAGGGGGGCGACACGGCTATTCGCGCAATGTATTAGTTTATGGGCCGCGCGGGCCTCGCGATGACGCGGCTGGAGGCAACTGCTCAGCGCGCTAGGATACTTCTGGCGGGGCCGGGCGCTGAACGGTGTGCAATGAATGGGTTATGGTCGGGCAGACAGAGATGAGGCATTGAATTTGAATTGATATCAGCAATCGGGTGGGGAAGGAGAACGTTTCTAATCGAGCTTGGGATGGGGAAAGCCGAAAATATCACGATCGGCTCATAGCTCCGACAGGGCCGGGTGCTGTACCATGTGTAGTATATTTAGGCGGGCAGACAGAGATGAGTTATTGGATTTAAATTCACCTTACCATCGGTTTCTGGTGAGGTTTGAAGACGTCTTTAGTCAAGCTCGGAGTGGGGCAACGGCCACTGGCGGATCCAGGGGAAGGCATTTGGGGCAAATGTCTTCCCCAACAACCAGGGCAGCGCCCGAACTCGATTTTCGAGAATAAATGAAAACTTCACAACTTTTCTGAGGAAATGTTGGTTAATCACACCGCACAGCAGTGCGCAAGGAATCGAAATCCGAGTTTTTTAAATTAATTCCGAGAAACCTTTTTGGGGTAAGCCCCCGCAGTGTCCAATACCGCTTCCTGGATCCGCCAGTTGTGAATAAGTCACGGTCGATACCGAGCTTCGGCGGGACCAGGCGCTGAACACGTTGTTCTTTGAATGAAGAGGTGGACAGACACCTAGCCCCACATTCTACTGCTATGCCCGTGCTTCTGTGGATGAAGCACTAAAGCATCACGGAATCCCAGAGGACCTGCGAGTCGACGAGGTGGCCGCTTTGGCCGCCGGGTACTGCAGCTCCCTGGAGTTGCCTGGGACCGATGACAAAACAACAGCTCCGGCGGTGCCCCTATGGGCCGTAGTAATTAGTGAATTCCCGTAATGTAGAGATCATATCCTCAATGATCTCCATTACCATTTTATATTCCTAAACAATATGACAGACCAATTATGCTTGCCTACGTTCAGGCATTACCTCTGATGGTCATACGCCCAGTACAACATGTGTTGTCTGTCAAACAACAATCGACGACGGGATCCCTTCTCATCATCTCTTAAGCCATCGGTTGTCAATTCACCCACCCTGTTTCCCTAAAAATAGACGGTCAGATTCGGCCTGGGTCCTTACGACCCCTCTAGATTCGCCAGAGACGGGATCGGATCGCCGTTATTGCACCCGTCTTAGTGTCTTAAATACTATGACAGCTTCGACCACGGACGTCGGACGGGGTGATCGTTCCACGAATGTACGCACCATCCAGGCCTAGGATGCATCGAGGTTTAAAAGGATGCAGTCTGTAGATCAAGCAACAAACAATGGTGGTATGCAACCACTTTAAAATATCTCCCTGGCTCCCGCAACGTTCCAACGCCCCTCCGTTATGCATTCGCCCTGTGTGTCCGTCGAGCCGGCTTGCCTCCAATGACGTCATCGGCCGGCCGGCGGCGTTCAAGGTCAAACGGCTGGTGTCCTTACCTGGAGTTCTATAGCCTTGGCCCAAATGCCGGTGGCCGCGATAATTTCTCTAGTTTCTAAGAATTTTCGGGACCCATGCTCTTTTCATACTGGATTGCGTGTGCCTTACAGAAACTGAAAAGTTCTTCCTATATCAAAAATATAGAAAATAATCTTTTGCTGTAAAAAGGTTTTATTTTCTTTGCTGATCATTTTGAACATAAAAAATCACAAATCCATTGCAAAAAAGATAATTTCGTGAAAGTGAACTATTTCCTTTAATAATCTCAACCAAATATTGAGTGTGGTGCAAAAAGCAAGCGAGACGAATATAATGTGTCTTTGCGCTAGTTTGGCAATCTTTCGTCCACTGAAGCTACTACATTCCAGCTTTAGTTGTCTCCCATATTTTTATTTTCTCACTACGAAACTTACCGTTAGAACGATTTCTACAGACACGAGCCTCTTCCGTGCAACTTCTATGTATACCTGCGACCCTTCGGTCTGTTACCGACATCTAAATGCGTGCTGAAGAGCATCGCCCACCTGACACGTCACTAAGCCATCGTTCTATCGAGAACGCTTTTCCACCTTGGTGCTTTGGCGGTCAGTACTCGGTGCCACATAAAAATCTCGTGGGCGTCAGCCAGTCGTCGACCTGGGCCACCTCAGTGAGCATCATACTTCAACCTCACCAGTGACCAACGGTCCGGGATCTGGGTCAAGATTTTGTGCATCGCACCCTAAACTGACCCAGATCAGACGCTCACCTATGCTAACACGATGTCTTCTGTCGCCTGACGTCGACCGTCATTCCACATCTGTTTTACATGAGCATCGCGGTCATGCTACTCACGATTGCTTGCCGCTATAGAACTACAATGCTCTCCAAGCTGTTCGTAACTCGTAGCATTATAACGCCGAATCGAATTAGCTGCACGATGTACATTACCTCCCGCTCTGGGAGCTGCTATTCACCGCATTAAATATAAAAAGAAATCAAGTACGCTCATGCGTAATGTATTGCGAGCTTGGCGTCATATAAAAGACGGCAGGAAGACCGTCTGGCATTGACAAATGACACTTGATGACACCTCCGCGCAGCGAGACGTGAAGTACCCCATCACACGCCGCAAGCACTGGTCCATACGCCCGACACAATAAAACACATATCCACGAACATCTCTCACAAACCACGAACAGCATTGGCGGCCGCCATATTGGAGCAGTCCACGTTGGCCGCCATATTGAAACCCCCACCCCCTCAGGAGACTGTTTTGCTGAGGTTGCTGAAGCCGGCGCCGAGGCAGGTGAGCGTCAGCTTCCCTCCTCCGGTGTTGAGGTCCTCTTCCTCCTCCGTGGGGATCACGTTCTCTATCCGGAATACAGTCTGGAATGAGTCCCGCAGGTGACGCAGAAACTCGATCCTGAAGAGAGGTGGACCCCCGGTAGAGCGTCAGTGCAGCTGAGAGACGGTACAAGCGGCTTAGTGAGGTATCGGTTTGGAAAAATAACAATGATAAATATTACTGTCATATCATGAAAAATATGGTACATAATAAATAATTCATCAGCACCAAGTTTACTAGTGCAGTTTAGGGTTTCATAAACGCCGCAATATGTAATTTGGTCGCTGGCTGTAACTCGTAACAATTTGCCTGAAAGTTTTACTTTCGATCAGAGCACACTTGTCTTTTTGCCTCCTGTCATCAACAGATCACCAAAAGTCCACTGCTCGGCTTCATCAGGACAAACAATGATCCACCTCCTTCACTAAACGGCCGCCACATCCACAACCCGCTCACAGTGACGTCACTGGCCCAACTTACGTGTACGGGGTGAGCTGGCCCAGCTTCACCTTGGAGACGTCCTTCTGTCCGAGCGACATGTAGAGCAGCATCATACTCTGAGCCAGTGAGTCGACACAGCCGCCCCTGCGCACAAAGGAGCCAGATCATGACACTTGGTTCACAACGTCCCACTGGCCATGACAAAAAGGTAACCCATACAGTTGGCTGAACAATGGACAATGAAGAATGGACAAATTGGCAAATCGGTTAGCATTATAATGGGAATCATATTGGCATATTGGTAAAGGAATCCTATTAGTATCAAATAGGCGTAGCCAGTGCCCGTTAGTCAATGACCTGAATAAAGCGTCTAAATGCTCAACGTTTTAACGTCATTCAAACTTTTCATTTTTCGATATTCGTTTACCGACACGAACTGATGTTTCTAACTATGGCAATGTCGCAGAATATCGATTAACTTTATCTTGCTCGAATGACTTCCTACAGTTAACCATAACCACTATACAAGCATCCACGACATAATGCGCCCCCTAGCAGAGGACGTATGGTTGGCTCACCGGTAAACCTCATCGAGCAGCAGGTGGGCCGCCGAGGTTCCCAGCTCCTCCGGTACGCTCGGAGGTCCCTCGGCGCCCTGCGGCTGTGACGTCACGTCTGACGTCATCATACAGCCGGTGGTCGTCTCGGCCACCAGACTGATGCCTGCCGGAGATTCGCGATGATGTTGGGTTAGCTGAAGACTATGGGATGGAGGTGGCGCCACTATTGCCTAGATGGCAGGTCAGGATTGACTCAGTGTCCGGGGCTTAGCATGTTTTAAGTTGCCCTTAGGCTCACTGAAAGGTGACCAATTATAGTGATATCGAGAAATGGGGCATGTACAAAAAGAGAATATGCATTACGCATTCACCTTATGATTCGATCATTGCCACAATCGATATTATTTCAGCCACAATTAGACGCAAGTCCGGTAGGGTCCCGCTTCACGTATAAGGTTGGATCACGAGAACCGCATAGACGGAAGACTCATTATGTGGACATAACGAGCTAGAAAAGAGCGACGCTCTTGTCATACTACGCTACAGACGGGAGACATACTGAATCATCCTGTTCTGTTCCGCGCCTCCCGTCACACACGCGTCTCACAGTCACTGTACTTTATTGGCGCGCACCGCACCCGCACTCGAGCTCGTCTCGCTCCACCCTGCCCGCTCGCGCCGCCCGCCGCCCGGCCCGCTGGGTCAGGGGCGGTCAAGGTCAACCCGGGCGGCCGATACCACAACACATCCCAAGTGAATTGCTCGGGGATAGCCTCTGGCCCTCTCTATACATTTATTTATTACAGTTCTCCACTACATTAGCAGAGTAGAGTACAACAGTTCCACATATCTGGCCTAAGTGGCCAGCGTCCCACTCACCGAATCCGGGCGACTTTCCGGCCATCTCGCCCTTGTAGTGGTCCGTGTAGATGTACACATCCGGCAGGAACTTAAGTAGCACCGCCTTGGCCGAGTCGACCATGCGCGAGGACATGGCGGGGGAGACGCGGGCAGCGTACGCCACGCCGCGGATCCGCTTTATCTTGCCCGGGTCCAGCCACTGGGAGTGGGGGGAGGGGGGGGGGGGTCAGCTGCGGTGCAGTGGGGGAGCGGCGGCAACAGTCAGTGCTACTTGAGGGAACAGACAGCTACAGTTAATGTTACGGGCAACGCACGCCCACAGTTTGTGCTACTGTCGGGACGAGCTTACCAGCGAGTGTGACTAACAAGTACGGAGGTGTCCCGCTCTGTAACTGAATGACCAATGAAGTCCACTCCGATCGTGGTAAACAGAAGAGTCAAATGTAACAAAAGGAGTGGAAAACTAAATGTGTGATTTGATAGGTAGACAATAAAGCGTTGACAGTCGATGGTATTCCTGGAGTATCACCACGGCGAAAAGGAAACATTGAGGACCCGACCTCCACGCTCCGCCGTCTCGCACCTGAGTGGCTCTCAGCGTCCTCTGGACGGGGCAGCTGAAGAACACCTGTCCGCCGCCACCGGGCGCCATGCCGCGCCGCACGATCTTCAGCTGCAGCTGCTCGTCAGCCAGCAGCAGGTAGCGGCGCAGGATTGGCAGGCAGCTGTGCTTCAGCTGGTCCACCGAAGGGTCCATCTGAACGCAGGGAAATAACATCGGGGCGGGTCAAATCAGGCCAGGTCATATCAGGGCGGGTCACACCAGGTCGAGCCACGTCCCGGTAGGGCACACCGGGAGGCGGGGCATGTCACGCCAGGCGAGTCGTGATTCAGCTGATTCGCGGAAGGTATTCCTCAAGAAACGCCAAGGACCGAGAAAATTGGAGGATAAAAGGCTGAAATAACAAAACCCATATGAACACCAGCAAAATCAAAATGGAGTTATGTGGCACGCAATGTTCAGATACAACCATAAACAGTCAGAGTGGCAGCACCATGATGCTTGGCAGTGCAACACATGGTCCTCAAGAAGTCAAGAGTCGCACGATAGCTTTTTGCGACCCCCAGCAGCCTCACCTGGCTGTTAGTGACGCCATGCAGTGTCAGGTGGAGCGGCTTCTTGCAGAACGGAGCCAGCATCATCACCGGCTCCAGATAGTAACCGAGGCCGCGCTGCTTGCTGCAGGCGTGCTCCAGCCGGCCACCGGCCAGCAGACCCGGCATGTACGTCACGGACGTACCCGTCTCGTTCACCTCGATGCGCGTGCCGTTGGTCAGTTTGTCCATCAGACGCAGGAAGCTGGCCTCGCTCTCTGCCAAGGCACGGACGGTCGTTAATGTGGCGGTTAAAAAGGACATTGCTGATAGAGACGGGGGGGGGGGGGGGTGCAACACAAGAGCCAGTTGCAACCAGGTGAGAGAGTCATTAGAAAAAAAGTACGGAGCTCAATCTTTGCAGTCATCCATTTGAGAGTTAAATAAACTGAGCAATTCTTCAAAAAGTAAATAATTAACGATCCGTAATTTGCTGGATAATATAAAACACATCGATAAATGTCAAATACAGAAATGCTTACCATTGACACCGGGATCATCATTTCCTGCTCTAATCTTTTTTATTTTGACCATTTTACCACTGAGTGTTGCAAGTACAATTCTCATCCGAAAGTTTTTGCATCCTTCATAGGACAAAACAGATGAGTTCTTATTCTGACTCATTCTTGCAAGTATATTTGAGAGCTGTAATAAGAACAGGTGCATATTTTGACAAAATGTTACATCAGAAAAACAGACATTGTCACAAAACAAATAGGATCATTACCTACTCATTCCTCAAGGATTTTTGTCAATTTAGCTTCAGCCTTCATGAGATTAGTATTTACTACTTACAGACCATTTGACCTGTAGGGAACTGTTCTCATTGAGCTCATGACATATTATACTTTTCTAATTCCTATCTGCCATCAAGTATTGCTATCATATGGTTAGGTAGGTACCTGATGTTTCCTAGTTGGCATTCAGTCTTGAGTTAAACTGCTCAACAGAAGCAGTGTCAATGACCATTTGGGGGAAAGTGTTCCAATCATTGATGACCCTCACACTAAAGATTGCTCCTTGGTCTGGTCCCAGCCAGTGATTCGGTTTGGCTCAAGTCCGTTTCGCCCCAGAAACCCTGACATGCCAGATTGGGGCCAGTCTAAACGGAATGCCATCAGAAAAGGGTGTTTGGGTCGATATGGCTCCATCCTGGTTAGCCAGTCTTTCCTGTGGCACTCTGGGGTTGGAATGCTTTCGGACCGCCAAGTCCGGCTCAAGTCCAGCTCCTTACCATGGCATACTGTGGCCAGCCGCCAGGTCTGGCTGCCACGTAGCTTCTCTGGCTTACTTACTGTGGCTGAATTACAGTTGAGGTATGGCACGGGGTATCGGTAACCCTGGCGTCACCGGTAGTGCTTTCGTTCAAGGTTAAGGTTCCCTGTATTAGGCCGCCGTGTCAAGCCGGAGCATGCTCTGAGTCTGATGTCACTGGGTAAGAGAAGAGACGATAAGGTACCACTCTATTAGTGTTGACTGAGACTCAGATAGACTCAGACTGACTCAGGCAGACTCAAGCTGACTAGGACCAGCTTAACGGATTCAGATAGACTCAGACCGACTCAGATAGACTCAGAATGACTCAGACAGACTCAGGCAGACTCTAACAGACTCCAGGCAGACTCAAACCGATTCAGGCTGACTTAAACCGACTCAGGCGGAGTCAGACTGATTCATACCGACTCAGGTAGACTCGGAATGACTCAAACTGACTCAGACCGACTCAACTGACACAAATCGATTCTGATCGACTCAGACAGAATCAGTCAGACTCAAACTGACTTGACCGACTCGAACCGATTCAGATCGACTCAGACAGACTCAGACAGACTCAGAGCTAGACTCAGAACGACTCAAAATGACTCAGACCGAATCACCTGACTTAAATCGATTCTGAATTCTGATCGACTCAGACAGACTCATAATGACTCAGACAGACTCAGGCAGACTCAAACCGACTCAACCGACTCGAACCGCTTTAGACTGACTCAGACAGACCAATCGGTTTGACCTGAATCATCAGACCTGAATTGGTTTGAGTCGGTCAAGTCAGTTTGAGTGTGCCTGAGTCGGTTTGAGTCTGCCTGAGTCTGTCTGAGTCGATCGGAATCGATTTGAATCGGTTGAGTCGGTCTGAGTCAGTTTAAGTCGTTCTGAGTCTATCTGAGTCGGTCTGAGTCGATGTGAATCGGTTTTAGTCTGCCTGAGTCGGTTTAAGTCTGCCTGCGTCGGTTTGAGTCGTTCTGAGTCTATCTGAGTCGTTCTGAGTTTGTCTGAGTCCATCGGTATCACTTTGAGTCCCTTGAGTCGGTCTGAGTCAGTTTGAGTCGTTCTGAGTCTATCTGAGTCGGCATGAGTCGGTATCATCATCATCATCATCATTTATTTCGATTGGAACTCCATATACATGGCTTTTCAGTCCAAGAGTCAAATACAGTAAGGCTCATACAGCTATCATCATCACGCTATCAATAATCAATAAAACTGACACCAGACTACCTAACGTTGAGGTGCTTCCTACAGCGTTTGCGACACAGCGCCGATGATTGCGATTCTCGAACGTCAGGTGGGAGCGAGTTCCATAGGCAGGTAGTGCAATATTGAAAAAAAACGTACGGGCGTGTTCAGAGCGTACTTTCGGTACCTCGAGCGCCAAATTCTCTGTAGCACGTGTCCGCCTGCTCGACACATCGCCGCGTTGCAGGAACCGCTCGGAAAGACATTTCGTTGCATGAACATTGTGACACAGATAATGAACAACATCGCAGTCGCTCTCGGCCACCAGCTGGTCCACTGTGGCCCATTCTAACTCAGTCAGCAATGGAGTCGCGTGAGAAGAGCGCCGCACTCGCATGGCCACCTGTGCACAGTGGTTAATGATTTTCTGAATACGATGTCGCTGCACTGCGCCACAGCCCGACCACACAGACAAACGGTGGTCGGGACAAACGGTATGAATCGGTCTGAGTCTGCCTGAGTCGGTTTGAGTGTACCTGAGTCGGTTTGAGTCTACCTGAGTTGGTTTGAGTCTGCCTGAATCTGTCTGAGTCGTTCTGAGTTGATCTGAGTCAGTCTGAATCGGTTTGAGTCGGTCGAGTCAGCTTGAGTCTGCCTGACTCGGTCTGAGTCTATCTGAGTCTCAGTTGATACCGACAGCGTGGCACGTTATCTACTCTTACCCAGTGACGTCACAGCATGCTTCGGCTTGGCACGGCGGCCTAATACAGGAAACCTAAACCTTGAACGAAAACTCTACCGGTGACGCCAGGGTTACCGATACCTGGCACGGCTGATGTGGCATTAGTCTGGCTGTGGTGCGGGTGAGCTCTACCCTCAATGACAATTGACAGGTATATAGGATCTAAAGAAAAATCAGTCAAAACGAATAAATCCGAAACAAAACACTTCAGCCCACACCTATTGTGACTCCAAAAACTCCTAAAATCCAATACTGATAACACAAAAATTCAACACCCAACAACACACGTGCGTGAACGCAACGCGAACATGTTTTATCGTCGCCAGTTATGGCGCATTTGCGTCAATCATAAATAAACATAAGTACTAAAATGCTGCAATAGGTTTATAGGAAGTTGACATCACAGTCCCTCAACTTTATGAATTTAAACAAAAATTATGTTTAGAATTTGGAACCTTTTGGTGCATATTGAAAAATTAAATATATTTAACATCTAAAATAAAATAAAAGCGACATACTACGCCTCACAAGTCACAGCTTGATTAGTGAAATGGTTTCAGCCAAGGGCAAGGCTAGGTTCCAGCTTGGGTTCCAACTTCCAGCACATTGCATAGAATATGTAACATTGAAGGTGCTAGTGGAAATGTATATTGAAAACATTTATCAATCTGTAATTGAATATACTACAATATTTTTGTCCTTCTTCTATCACATATGGTGGGAAATTTAAACTGGCTAAACACTTGGCCAAATAATGTCCACCATGATATTTTGCTGTGCTTTAGATGTAGATATTGTGCCAAGTAAACAACTGCCGAGTGCCGAGTGCGTCAGTTGCTGAGGAATTGCTGCGGCGGGTGGTGTCGCGCACCTGGGACCGATCACGATGCAATTCACTTTAGTATGCGTGAAACGCCTTGTCATTAGGGCTTCTATCGGATTTTAGCTGAATTTTGGAACTTGGGTTTGAATGATTGGTTGTTGTTATGAGCAATATGTTAAAGATGAAAATTAGTCAACTACTACAAGACTGAGACAACATTTGTGAAACCACACCAAAATTTGTGGCCTCAGCCTATTTGTACAGGTGAGTTGGGTGAAAGAATCATAATCACGGAACTGGCTGGGTAACTGATATTGCGGGCCATAACAATACCTCATCCTGTGACTATATATTGATATCCACTGATAACGTAACAATGGGTGCAACATTGACATGCTGATGGGGGGGGGGGGGGGGTACCTGCTTTGACTTGTGTAATTCTCATATGCCACTGTCTTGGTGTCTGGTGACCTCTTATGTTGATGTGGTTATGTACCTACATGCTCAAGCTGAACATACATGTGTGGGGCAACTGAAATGTCCCTACCTTTTTGACAAATTCCAATCAATTTTGCAGCCAACCATGGATTCTGTGAGGGTGGCTGTTCGCGTTCGCCCCTTCAATCAAAGGTGAGTGTCAGCTGTTGTCAACTGTCAAGCAGCTACTCTTCAAGACACTCTACAGTTGACTTGATTGATTGATTGATTGATTGATTCATATTTTATTTATAGAAGCATTTTCACAGTCATACATTTACACGGATTGGTGCAGAAGCGACAAGCGCTTATCTCTAAGCACCTCTCCCAGTTCCCTACAAGGTAGGAGGCACGACCACCGCCCCCGACCGCCCAGCCAGCAGACCAGAAGCAGAGCCGCCCGTCGCCAGTCCGCCTATTTTATGCTTAGAGAAATTACTTCCAAAAGCGTGCTTTTTATATGAACCTACCAGTGCCAATGATATAATTTTGAATGGCCCTGACCAGTTCCCCGCCGTCGCCGCCGCCAATACCTTGACCCTCTAGGAGAATTTCGAGTTGTCTTCTAAAAGAAAAAGCGTCAAAGTCGTGGAATACAGTGGAGACAGAGTTAAAAAGAAGCGTCCGTTCGTCAGCGTAAAGAGGGCAGTGCAGCATAAAGTGACGTGAATCCTCCCAAGGATGACCGCACTGACAGGCCGCATCTTGGGTGTCCTTAGATAAAACTGTGAAGAGGTGTACTTTTAGGGTGGACATGTGCAAACGAAGTCTAGTGTGGAGAGTGTTGCCTAGCTTGGATCCTGAGGAGAAGAAAGGGTTGGGCTGGGGACAGAAGTGCTGTCTTACTTCATTGGAAAACTTAGAGCGTGATCGGATCTGACGGATATGTTCGGGGAGGGAATTCCAGGATCTGGTAGTTTCAGGGATGAAGGATCGCTGGAAACAGGATAGGCGGTTTTTCGGGAGCGTGAGCAGTGATGAGGTGCGGAGGTTGCGTTGAGTCGAGTCCTGGCGCGTCGGCGTGATTAGGTCTGTTACATAGGCAGGAGTTGATGGCGGTGGATGGCGGAGTTGATGGAAAAATGTTAGTCTGTGAGTCAGTCGTCTTGTCGTCAGTGTTTCCCACCCCAGGTCCTTATGCAACTTGTCAGTTGGAGATTTGTAAAGGGCACCAGTCACTAGTCTCGCCGCTCTGTTCTGTAGTTTTTGGAGTCTGAAGATGTCTGAAGTCGTCAGGTGTCCATCGTACACTATTTCGCAGTAGTCGAAAAGTGGTCGAATGTAAGTAAAATAAATGTCATTCAATACTTGTCTTGGCAAGTATTTAGCGACAGGATAGATAGTCTTGATTCTTAGTCTTGTTCATCAATCAACTCAGAAATTCATGGCAATTTTACCTGGCAATTCCTCTCAACGTGTACCTACCTGATTGGTGGATTTCATCTGCCTTACTCAACCTAATGAGGTACTTACTTACCTAACAGTGAGCCTCCTATTTTGTAATTGCTGACAACTTTATTGCTATGCATGCCAATTTCAACCTGGATTGCATTTTTTTATTTATTTGAAGCTGGTGGCTACCAAATGAAACCGTGGAATGCAGGTGACAAAACTACAAGATGTGTTCAGGACTATATGATATCTCTAGTCTTCCCATCTACCCACAATCACAATGGCCAGGGTGCAGTTTATAGCCAGGTGCTAATTGAAAGGTCAAGTGAGGTCGTGTAAGGAATTAAGTCATTTTTGTTTGGTGATAGGTTTCCACCTTCAACCTTATTGACGTTTTCCCTGCCACTAGCCCCGCTAACTCCCAAAGTCGTCACTGATAACCCTCTAAATAAGGGGTACGTCGGGCCCCTAGCCGTTCGGCCCCTGATCGAGCTACACCTTCGCGAAAAAAACGAGCGTTTTGCATTTTGCCACTGTTGCCCGTGTGTAGTGTCGTCTCCCGAATCTCCCGAATCAGCAGTCCGCTCGTCAAGTCCTCACCAAGGTCCTCACAGTGCCAGCCCGATCCAACAAGTGTGTATTTTACAAAACTGAAGCTCCGACAACATCTCGGCCAAGGTCAACTGAATTCATGGTCGTTAAATCACTGCCGTTTAGTTCACTGCCAAGTTACTACATTTTCCCCCCTCCATTAACGGAAACGCGCTGGTGTCTTGATGCGTCTCCCACACCGCGTTCGCCGTTCCCCACCGTCACGCGCCAGGGACGACGGTCCCCCAGCGTCGCCACGTATCGGGGACGACGACCCCTTACCGCGCGCACCGTTGCCACGTATCGGGGACGACGACCCCTCACCGCGCGCACTGTCGCCACGTATCGGGGACGACGACCCCTCACCGCGCGCACCGTCGCCACGTATCGGGGACGACGACCCCTCACCGCGCGCCGGGGACGGCGGCGGTCCCGCCGGAGACGGCGGCGGTCCTCCGTCGCCGCGCGCCGGAGACGATGCGCGGCCCCTGGACAGCGGTCCACCGCCGTCGCTCGTTGGGGGCTCTCCCTCGCCGGCGCTCGTCGGGGACGGCCGTCCTCCGCCACCGCCGCGCGCCGGAGACGGCGGCGGTCCTCCGTCGCCGCGCGCCGGAGACGGCGGTCCTCCGCCGCCGCCTGCCGGAGATGGACAACCGCCGACTTCACTCCGTCTCGCTGGCGGCGATCCGCTCGAAGGATCTGTGGAGCGGGTTAGTCGTTCAGCGTGCACCAATGTCCCACAGCTGAGTTTGTATGAGACACGTCCCCTCCTTTCCATCACCATTCTCGGAGACGAGAAGGCCTGCCGACCTTTCCTGGGGCGGGGCACCAGCCTAAACCTCACCCATTCTCCCACTTCATAGTCCCTCGGCCGGGCACAATACCTCAGGTCGAAGTACTTCTTCTGCTTTTCCTGCTGCGTCGCCACCCGCGCCCTCGTCGTCGAGTCGTCCACCGGACGACGCTCAGCCGCCGCGTGCAGCTTGGTGCGCAGTTGTATCCCTCGCAGCAGCTCCGCCGGTGACCTGCCCGTAGTGGAATGGGGTGTGGACCTATATGACAATAGGAACTCACGGATGGCCCGCTTCCAATCCATACCATCGGCCGTCGCAGTCTGCAGGACATTTTTGACGTTCTTATTGAACCGCTCAACTGCTCCCGCCCCCCTTGGATGATAGGGGGTCACTCTGATTTGTCTCACACCCACTTCTTTCAGGTAGCCTGTGAAGACAGCAGAGGTGAATGCAGTACCGTTGTCACAAACTAGCTCTTCTGGGTATCCTTCTCGACTCGCAACAGCCTCCATGAACTCTATCACTGACTCCGAGTTGGGGTGCGCACAAAATGCTACCTCTGGCCACTTTGAGTAATAATCGACCATGACAATAGCAAAACGTCTCTGCACCCCACCTCCCTCCATCGGTCCAATGAAGTCTATGCCCACTTTACTCCAGGGCGTCTGGGGCAGGGGCACCGGGTTCAGTGGGGGCACATTCACCTTGACAGTCTTGTCAGCGGTAGCGCAAGCAGCACATTGACGCACAAGACACTCAACGTTGGCGTCCATCCCGGGCCACCAAAACAGCTCCCTCAAGCGCTGCTTAGTTCTTACCGTGCCTTGATGCCCCTCATGAGCAAGATCCAGAAGACGCCTTCTCAGCTCCTCCGGAACCACGATCCGGTCGCCCTTGAAGATGAGACTGTCAGCCGTTGACAGCTCCAGCCTGCAGCGGAAGAACGGTCTCAGGTCGTCAGGACAGCTGGCAATCCTTGCCGGCCACCCTTCGTCCAGCTGACTCTTCAGCTTCCTGAGAACAGGATCGGTCTGAACTGACTCGCGGAGCTCGCCTCTGCTCACTGCCGAGAGACGCTCCACCCGTTCAGCTATCTCCGCCACCAGCTGCTCCTCGTCGTCTGGAGCCGCTTCCGCGCCCACTGCCGGCAGACGCGAGAGACCGTCAGCCACGTTACACTTGCCTGGCACGTGACGGATCTCGAAGTCGTAGACGAGGAGGCGACTGGCCCAGCGACTGATCCTCATTCCTGCCCGTCCGACTCCTCTGGACGTGAGAAGTCGCAGCAGCGCCTGATGGTCCGTCCTGAGAAGTGAATGCCAAACAGGTACCGATGCCAGTGTTCAATAGCCCATAGAGCAGCCAGTGCCTCCTTCTCAGTCGCACAATACTTCCGCTGTGCTGAGGAGAGGGTAGCGGATGCGAACGACACGACCCGCTCTCCCTCCGGGTGGATCTGGCTCAGCACCCCACCGAGACCAACATCAGACGCGTCCGTGGTCACCACTGTCGGTAAGGTGGGGTCAAACATAGCAAGCGCAGAACTGGACGTGATCAGAGCGATCACCCTCCTGAAGACCAGCTCCAGTTCCTCAGACCACTCGAACTCGTGACTTGCACTCGAACGAAGTTCCGCGCGCAGAGGCTCCACCAGCGACGAGTAACCCTGCACGAACCTGGCATAGAAGCCAAAAAGGCCCAGAGCTGACTGGAGGTCAGCCTTGGTCCGCGGTGACGTCATCTCCGTCATCCCTCTCGTCCTCTCAACACTGACCGAGATGCCAGCTGCGCTCACTGTCAACCCGAGGAAGTCAAGTGTGGGGACACCAAACAAGCACTTCTTCTCGTTCAGGGTGATACGATGAGCGTTCAGTCGCGCGAGGACCTGCTGCAGCCGGACATCATGCTCTGGTGCATCCCTGCCAAACACAATGATGTCATCCATGTACACCATCACCCCTGGCAGACCCGTCAGGACGGCTTCCATGACCTTCTGGAATGCCGCTGGAATGGACGACAGTCCAAAACAGCACCGTTTGTAGCGCCACAGACCCTCGTGCGTCATGAAAGCGGTCAAGTCACGGGACTCTTGGTGAAGCATCAACTGATTGAATGCTGACTTCATGTCTAGTGAAGAGAAGACTCTGGCTCCTCTGAGCTTATCTAACATCTCTTGCATGTCAGGCAAGGGGTGCTTACTTGAGATGATGCTCTTGTTCACCTCCTTCAAGTCCAAGCAGAGACGGATACCACCAGTCCGTCGCCGGGTGACCACCACAGGTGACACCCATGGAGAGGAGTCCACCCTCTCTATGACGTCCTGCTTCTCCAGCTTCTCCAGGTGCTCCTTCACTTCACCCCTGACCGACAGCGGCAGGGGTCGCAGCTTCTGACGGACCGGAGTGGCCCCCTCCTTCACCTTGACTCTGTGGACAAAGCCGTGTATGGCGGGCAGAACCTCTGCATCCTCCCCCTCTACCGCACAGACGACATTGCCATCTTTGACTGTAACTCTAAGCAGCTGCTGTAGGTCACGGCCAAGCAGGGGTACACTGTGGGACTCCACCACGAACAAGGTACCCTCAGTCGAACATCCCCTGTCAGAGGACACTGTGGCCGTCATCATACCACGAACAGGCAGAAGGTGTCCTCCATATCCCTGAAGCCTGATGGAAGACATCTGTAGAGGGACGTGCGCAAACTGCTCCTGATACAAGCTGCTGGGTATCAGACTCACTCCCGATCCTGTATCCACCAACATCTGGACCTGAATTCCATCAATGCCAACAGACATCATGGGACGAGGCACTTGAGAGGGCACATGGTGCACAGTCGACACTTCTACCACACAGGCATGCGAAGACTCCTGACGCTTGCACATGACTGCATAATGCCCTTTCTCATGACACTTGTTACACTTCCTGACCCTGGCTGGACACTCCTTACTCTTGGCTTTATGTCCTTTACGGCCACATGCAAAACAGGTCATCTCACCTTGCTGTCGTTTCTTGCCTTCTGAGTCTCGCCGGGTGGAGAAGCCGCCTCTCCTCTCAGTCGCTGCCACCTCCTTGAGGACCTCTGCCCCCAGCTCCGGAGACCTGCCAGCTAGAGTTTGTTGACGGTCAGCAGCCTGATCAGCAGCGAGAGCGATGACTTCAAGACGCTGCAGGGTTAGGTTTTCTTCCTGACACAGTCTTTCCTTAAGCCTTTGAGAGGAACATCCTTCCAAAAACTGATCTCTTATCATTTCATCTTCTAAGTTACCAAATGCACACTTCTGACTACCTTCCCTCAGATTGGCTAGGTAGGTACGAACAGAAGAAGCCTGCTGTCTGCACTTCCTGAATTTTATCCTCTCTGAGATGATATCAGTCTTACTGACAAACAGACGACATAAGACAGCTACTGTATCCTCAACCAAAGTGGTGTCAGAGGGCTCTGTTTTCACAATACCTCCTGGGCACTCAGCTCTAAACAGTCTCCGCCCTTCCTGCCCAAGGCAGTGCAGGAGCAAGGCCTGCTGCCTCTCCTGACTCCATGCTGACCAACCTATGGCCATGGCATAAACTTCGAAGTCCGGAAACCAGTTATTCCACGGCACCACCGGCGGGCCTGGAAGAGGTAAGAATGCCGCGGGCGGACGAATTCCCTCCATACCTCACGTCTGGTCCGACTACCTCGTCGCCAATTGTAGTGTCGTCTCCCGAATCTCCCGAATCAGCAGTCCGCTCGTCAAGTCCTCACCAAGGTCCTCACAGTGCCAGCCCGATCCAACAAGTGTGTATTTTACAAAACTGAAGCTCCGACAACATCTCGGCCAAGGTCAACTGAATTCATGGTCGTTAAATCACTGCCGTTTAGTTCACTGCCAAGTTACTACACCGTGACAAGAGGAATCCGATGACCGATGATGCCCGAGTTAAGGTCCTAGGTCATTGGATGCCCTTCTAAGTCAGGTCAATGAGCAAAAGATGCCTGCCAGAACTTCCTGATGCGAGGTTCTTATGTTTTTTTATGGGGTCCTGATTTCGAATTTCAAAAAGTTTCGATCAACGATGATGTATTCATGATTTGGGCTGGGTCGAGTCGGGTTGGGTCAGGTCAACTAGTAGGCATCCCGCCGGCTATCCATCTGTAGATTTTAACCCTCCTGACAGCTTCGTATCATGTTGCATTATGCATAGTCGCCAAAACAACATCTTAAATGTTCTTATGGGTAGGTACTTAACTCAAAATCAGATCCAACAACAACCCTAGAAGCTTGAAAGAGTCGGAAAGTGAACCAATGTCATATGAGGTCATTCATCTTCATTCTTCACCTGACCTTCACACGACTCTTACACCCAGCATGATGCATAATTTCTCATGTTTGCGCGTTTTCTAATTGCAAAAAGTCCCGAAACGCACGGACAGAGTGCGCTGACATACGACGAATCGTAAGTCCGGCCTCTGGTCTGGCATGGTGTCGAGTCGAGAAACATGCCACAAGTCAAAGGTCATTTGGGTCAGGGCCATGTTTTTTTTCAGGATTTCTGTGAATTTGAAACTTCGAGTATGCTGGAAGTGTCGTCGCAATTGGGAGCTTTTTACGCGAGTTGATCGAGAAAAAGCGGTGGGGGGGGGGGGGGGGGTAGCTCCATCCGACCATATATAAGCGCGAGGATTAGCATAAAAGTTAGAGCGTGAGCCGTCACCGACGGCTCTGATAGGTTTGTTTCTCCAAGTTTAATCTATTCTGATGCAACGTGACCTTTTTAGGATAGGTCATTGCCTGGTGGAGGCTTTAAAAATGTGCCTTCGCTTGAGGTCATTTTTTTATTTGACATTTTCAGCGTTCAGTTGACCATTCCACATATGGGGCGTTCCACGACAAATCGACAAATAGAAAATTAAATTTGCACCCTCATATTTTATTATTCGTTGAAAACTGGTGTAAGGGGTTGTGATGGGCGGGGAAGCCAGCTGTGGCAAGGATTTTTTTCTTCGAACAACGGTTTCCGAGATAGCCTCGGGCAATTTCTGGAGTTCGCGCTGCAGCCCTATGTTTGGCGGCCTATAACTCAGAAACTATTGGTTTTTTACGATAAAAACTTTATATGGTTCAACTCACAATCAACCAACAAACATTTTGGCTATCTCGGATTTTCAATTTTTGAAAATTTAAATCACGTGACCTTTTGTCCTATTTTTCGAAGAGTGACCTTGATATTTTCCCCACTGAAAGTTGCAATTTTGTCTGATGACGATTAAAGCCTTATCGATTGTCATTCAGATGCGATAATAAAAAAGTGGTTATCGCCCTGCGTTGACCTCAGGTCAGGTCATTTTTTATGACCTGTCCATTATTACCTACGAGCGGGAGCGGCAGCGAGATCTCGAGAATAAAGCAAGATTTTTTACCGATGCCACTGGGACTTTTAAATCTCATGTTTTGAAGTATATATCATCTTTTTAAAGTCATAGGGCCCTTTTACAAGCTCGTTTTTTTTAGATTCATCTTAACTCACATATTTTTTTGTGCATTATATTTTTAGCTATATTTATCGTAATATTTACCTACTGTTTTACTCTGCATTGTTTGCCCGTATGTCATTGTTTATCATGTATAGTGTTAGTTTGACTTCGCCTGTCAGTGGGGGTCCGCCCTGTTGGTGATCACTTGAATAAATAAATAAATAAAATAAATAAATAAATAGATAGCGACAAGCGGTAAACGGTAAAGGGTACACACAGATAAGGTCTAATTTTTACTGAGGTCATTTTCAGGTCAGGTCAAAGATGACGTCACAGGAGCTAAAAGGAAGTCAAAATAGCGGCACTATACATATATATGAAGTTTTTCTCGAATAACTTTCAAGGTATCCCAGCTAGGAACAAACTAATAGCACCATCGTGATCCTCTCGTCGATCCGCATCGAAACATATGTATGTTGACCTCGAAAGGTCAAAAGGTCAAAAGTTGACCTTAGATCACGTGACCTAAGGTCAACTTTTGACCTTTCGACCTTTTGAGGTCAACATACATATGTTTCGATGCGGATCGACGAGAGGATCACGATGGTGCTATTAGTTTGTTCCTAGCTGGGATACCTTGAAAGTCATTCGAGAAAAACTTCATATATATGTATAGTGCCGCTGTTTTGACTTCCTTTTAGCTCCTGTGACGTCATCTTTGACCTGACCTGAAAATGACCTCAGTAAAAATTATAGACCTTATTCGTGTGTACCCTTTACCGTTTACCGCTTGTCGCTATCTTGCTTTATTCTCGAGATCTCGCTGTCGCTCCCGCTCGTAATAATGGACAGGTCATAAAAATTATCGTACCTGAGGTCAACGCAGGGCGATAACCACTTTTTATTATCGCATATGAATGACAATTGATAAGGCTTTAATCGTCATCAGACAAAAATGCAACTTTCAGTGGGGAAAATATCAAGGTCACTCTTCGAAAAATAGGACAAAAGGTCACGTGATCAAAATTTTCAAAAATTGAAAATCCGAGATAGCCAAAATGTTTGTTGGTTGATTGTGAGTTGAACCATAGGAAGTTTTTATCGTAAAAAACCAATAGTTTCTGAGTTATAGGCCGCCAAACATAGGGCTGCAGCGCGAACTCCAAGAATTGCCCGAGGCTATATCTCGGAAACCGTTGTTCGAAGAAAAAAATCCTTGCCACAGCTGGCTTCCCCGCCCATCACAACCCATTAGACAAATTTTAAGCAAAAAATAAAATATGAGGGTGCAGGGCACTTGTCGATTTGTCGTGGAACGCCCCATATACTTGACGCGCCCAGTTGAGAGCAACGAATGTTTGAAAACTTTACCTCATAGTTCCTGTATTCAAAAAGTTATCGCAGAGAAACGGCACCCGAAAAAAAACAGTTATATTTGTTGCTGTTTTTTGTTTTATTTTCTTTTTTACTTCAGTGGGTGAAACGGTTGGCTGGGCATTAGCATTCTCCAGTGTAGGGGATGATGTCACGCTCTGACGGTTTCGGAACAGTCTGGGGACAGAGAGCTGAAAGCTAGCATGCCTACCTCACGTTTTATTCAAGCTCAATACTCAATAGTATGAAACCGGTTGCACTATCCAGGTGAACACAGTGATGTCTAAATCGCAGTTCTGCGACAACTTTTGGCGATGTTTTTCATATAAACTGAACCCCATCTTGGGTCTTTTGACCTGACCTCAGAGGTTATTGGTGACATTGGTTATTGGAAGCCTTAACCCTCGCCCGGCGAGGGGGGGGGGTTGATGCAACTCCTAAGGTTTTTCGCAAATAACGTAAAAACGGCGGCGCCAAATTTGGCATACCCTCTGGGGCAACCTTTTCGCACCTATCCTGAAAATTTGAAGTCCCAGTCCTTTCAGGTCAGGTCACCAGGTCACAAAAATCGGTGCAAATTCGGGGAAAATTGGACTAGCTTAGCGACAACTGAATTCCAGAGTTCACTTAAATTGGTAACAAAGTATATCATTCGATGCGCACGGACGTCCTGAGTTCACTGGTGCTTTTATTTTCGCTTTATATTTACTAGGTAAAAAGTTATAAGCGAAAAAGGTTTGACATGTTTTAGCATTTTTTTTTTTTGCACTCATACCCGCAAAACCCCCCTAAATATTGACTTAGAGTCACCAAACTTTCCCAGGGGCAAGATCTCCTATGGACCCACCTACCCTGTAAATTTGGCGTTTATAAGTGCCATAGGAACCAATCGCCAGGGGGGTCGTACCAACCCCCCTCGCCGTCCGTGTTATGGAAAAGGCCCTCGCCTGGCGAGGGTTAAAATCGTACAACAGTCGCTGCGTCTCGTAGCGGCACAAGCGATCCTTATTTCGGCGAGGCTTTTGCTTGATAAGGTGGTAAGCGGCGAAAGGTTATATCGCCACTCCCATCGGCCGGAGCGTTTTTAGAAAATCGATGGGTCCGATAGATATTAATCTGACTGTACGTCTTTTAGGAGTTAGGTCGTTTGATGAGTAGTTGATTGTATTTAACAATTGACATCTTCTTATTCACTAGCTACGGCGGTGGACATTGGCCTTAGAAAGGAACTCTTTACTTGGCCTTCTGTGGCCTCGGCATCGATCTGTGCGAAGGTTGACCGGAATACTTTTCAAAGCGTTCGGGTCCTATCGATCGCCATTTCGCGTCTTTCTACCTTTATTGATTATCGAGGTAGTGGGCTGTGGCCAAATAGGTACGCCTACCCCACTCACCCTGGCAAAGTTGGCTGAAACCCAGTCCCCTGAATAGCTATGCATGCAATAGGTGCATTACACAATGCGCATGCCTAGTAATACGGCGCTCATAACGGTTATACCTGTATGCGGTTATATTTACTAAGTTGACACTGAAAAACGGTTATGCCTACTGCGGTGTCTCTTGGATAATTCCAAGATTGTCTGTTCACACGACACAGTTTCTAATTTCATTTGTACCCTTGTCTAATCACTCCATCATTTTCAGGGAGATCGATATGAACGCCCAGCTCTGTATATCGATGAACGGGAGGAAGACGACCATCACTAATCCCAAGGTAAGGAACGTGCCGGAACCTTGGTCGTTTTTACATCACACTTGACATGCATAGCATCTTGGCTTATTTATGGTCATGTTGGGAGAAGCGGCAGGCAGCATTCAAAATAGTCGTAAGAGTTGTCACTAAATTACCTTCTTCGGTCTTGAATCCGTCCAGCTCTTATCGCCGCAAGTCATTTTTCAATCAGCGTTAACCTATGGCAACTGGCGGTCTAGTTCACAGTCCAGACGGCCGAAACTTCAAACTGCGAGAACGATGGGTTGCTCAGATTCAGGCCTTCCCTATCACGTTGATTTAAATTATCGTGGCCATATGTATAACGCGATGTCACTTCTTGCACTCGGGGACCGTTACCGACAGCGTACCGTATCGGTCAGGTGACTACCTCTGCTGTGCGCGGCGATCCCATACCCGTGACCTTGGGGTCAGCCGCTCAAGGTCACGGTATGCGGACGGCTCCTCTCAGCTGTGTTCGCGGCTCGCATACATTCTTACCTAGCAGACTGACAACGGCGGCACTTGGGCGGCAGAGTTGACAATCGCTGATTTACTAGGAGCCTTCCATAATGTACCGAACCGATTCAGAGTCATTCAGAGTCGGCGATCGTCGATTTCACTAGGAGCCTTACACACCTTACATAGGTACAGGTCTCGCGGGTTTTAAGCGTAGGTTTTGCCTTTCCGGCTCTATCTTTTTCGTCTTCAGCTTTGTAGGCTTGAAGATGTGACCGATTTATTCGTATAGCTCCCTTTCATGATCATGGAAAAAGGTTTGATCGTATGCCGGCTAGTTTCGGAGAAATTGAAAGAAAACCTCAAAATTCGCCGTTTGGGGTATTCTGACCGCGGCTTCCCTGCAGTCGCCTATGACTACAGTGGCGCCACCCGACGAGTAGGACGCTGAAACACAGAGGCATGAATGAATCCAGCGCGTGGTGAACGGTGGATAGAGGCGGGACTCGGCAGAGGCTATCACTGCGGCCCGCGCAGGGCGTCCTTGGACAGCGAACGAGCCTTCGGGCGGTGAGGCCAGAGGTCACGACAGCCAGGCTCTGTTTGGCATGAAGGGAGGGGAGGCGCTCGCCTCAAGCCAACTCAGCCGGTTTGGTGGTAGTGGTGGTGGTGGTGTGTGTGTGGGGGGGGGGGGGGGGCGGCAGGCGAGAGGGGCTAGAACGAACGGGATAAAATAGAATTGAAATGTCGTGCCATGGTCAACTTACAATATTGTTTACCTTATTAGCATTTATTAACATTACGAAAGAACCCACCATATTAACCCGAGCCCCGCTGGGGTCTGCGGAGCAACGCGCCCTGCTGGGGGGGGGGGGGGGGGGGCGCGATTCCCCCCTAAAATCTCGAAAACCACGCAACATAGCGACAAGCAGCAAACGGTGTTGGATAGCCCCATCAGGGAACTACCTTGTGACCCAATTTCGTTGACCTAGGTCAAACCGATGACGTCACAGGTCAGGTCAAATGTCGAATTTCCACCGTTTACAGGCATTTCAAGCAATGCGTTGTAAAATTGAGTAAAATGCATTTCATTGAAAATCATCGATGGGGGAAATGTTCGTCAAACACATATTTTGCTATTTGAGGTCACTGATACCAGGTCAGGTCACAGAGGTCAGGTCACTGAGGGTCACAATATGAAAATATCATGTGATGCATGTTTTATGGTCCATTTTATATGCCAAATACGATTATGTGGGTCAGGCAGCCTTTGGGGTCAGTTTAGATTATGTTCCCGTCAAGGTCAGGTCAAGGTTAGGTCAAATTAGGTCAAATTTCAAAGTTGATATTTTGCATAAACTGGGTATCGATTCGATGCAGCTCGTCACGGGGAGTTCAATGGGGATATTTGTTTTGCGCTACGTGATCTAGAATGGCTAAAAATGAAGTTTAAAAATAAGACGTCATCAATTTTGAACAGTTTTTTTCGCTATAACTTGGCCAAAAAAGGAGGTATCGATCTAAAATTGGTATGAATATAGAAGAGCGCAGGGACTATCACATATATTCCGGTTTTTCGAAATTCGCAAAAAAGGGATTTAAGCTTTTCTAAAAAAAAATCAGTTTTTTTAATTTTAGGGGTCAAAATCCCAAAATTTTGAAAATCTGAGATAGCACTTTTGTAGCGCTATCTTTTATCTACATGACCATATAAAAAAAAACTTTAAAATTGCTTGGTAACTGTAGCTTTTGTGAGCGTTTCAAGATTTCATGTTTTTTGCTCACTTTTGCTCGAACATGACCTTAGTTTGACCTCAATAACTCCCGACCTAAGGTGACCTTAGACTTGAAATTTGGTGTGTAGGTGTCAAATTGATGCCCGGAAAGGTACTGAAAATTTGGCGGGGCCGCGCGCCGCCGTTTTCTTGCTATTCGGGAAAAACCACCAGCAGGGCGAGGGTTAAATTGAGAAATATACCTACAGGAAATGTTAATTTTCGATGTTACCGCTTACTTTTAATGGAAACCCTACTTCTCATAAGGGGTGATAAAATGAGCCCCTCCCTCGTTTTTTTCCTGAATAACTCGCGTAAATAGTGGTGGATAGCAGCGAAGCTTTCACGTTTTGGAAATAAAGTGCAGCAGAACACAAAACTTTGTTGTGAAACGACCTCCAGCCTCAGCAGGTCACGGTTAATCCTCACCCCGTTCGGGGGTGGGCAATATAGCCCCCTGTGTATTTTCCTGAATAGCAAGAAAACGGCGGCGCGCAGCCCCGCCAAATTTTCAGTAGCTTGCCGGTAATCAATTTGACACCTTCACACAAAATCTCAAGTCTTAGGTTACCTTAGGTCAGGAGTTATTGAGGTCAAACTGAGGTCATGTTCGAGCAAAAATGAGCAAAAAACATGAAATCTTGAAACGCTCATAAAAGCTATAGTTAACAAGCAATTTCAAAGCTCTCTATCTGCTCGTGTAAAGGAAAGACGGCGCTACAAAACTGCAATCTGGGATTTTCAAACTTTTGAGATTTTGACCCCCCAAATAAAAAATTGGTCTGTTATAAGATAGCAAAAAAAACGAATAAAAAAAAAACGGAATATATATAATAGTCCCTGCTTTCTTCGATCTAGATAACAAATTGAAGATCAATATCTCCTTTTTTGACCAAGTTTTAGCAAAAAAAAAAACAGCTAAAAATTGATGACGTCAATTTTAACTCAATTTTTAGCAATTCTAGACCACGTAGCGCAAAACAAAGACCACTATTAGCCTTCCCGTGACGAGCTGCATCGAATCGATACCCATTTCAAGTCAAAAGGTATTTCCTCGTTGGGGCAGTCCAACACCGCTTGCTGCTTGTCGCTATTTTGCGTGGTTCTCGAAATCTTGGGGGGGGGGGGGAGCAAGATACTCCTCCCCTCCCCCCCCAATGGGACCGATGCTTGGTGGACCCTGACGGGGCGCGGGTAAATGACAGAACTGTTCCCAAGAAATAGCATTACAGTCGTCTCCCGGCCTCAATGGTAAGCGGCTAAAACTTTGAACGACTACCTATGGATCGGCACGCTGCCGGCTCACTCCGCCCGCTGGCTACGGGTGGCCTTGACCGTTCAATGCCGATTGGCCAACGGCCGAGGTCGTGCGCTGGTCAGCACGCAGAGAGGACGGGACGCGGTACTGCACATTGTGAGTGACCTCTGACCTTTCCCCGTCCCCTGACCGCATGCCGTGTCGCCGGCGCAGACGATAGAAACCGGTTCTAGCCTCTACGCAGGCTGCCACTCTAACCCTCCCCTCCCCACTTTACTATGTGTCGTAGTACGCACACGCGAGTAACTGGGCGGAGCAAATGGTCACCGATACAGAGGCGGAACTGGTTGCCCTCCCGCTCGCCGAGCGACCTACCGCTAAAACCCGCTAGACCTCCGTAAAGTGGGGCTATTTGAAACGGTTTTTACAGTTTCTGGCCTCTCCCTTTAAGACGGTTCATATTTCTTATAAAATGTAAATTGCAAAAATGTAGTTATCTGTGAGCTCTTTCACATAGGTGCATTTCAGTTCAGCTAGTATTAATGATTAAGGCTATTTTTTTTAATATAAGCCTGTCTCAAATAGCCCCATAGGGTGGGGCTATTTGAGACACTTTTATTTACAAAGAAACTGAAGAAAATCGGTCACGCTAGGGATGATTTTTTAAACACCATGCGATTGGAAATTCAATTTTGATCATGCTGGCAAAAATTGTTTTTGCAAAGACTGTTATATGTCCTTTATACTCAATCTTTTCCTTTTTCGTAGGATACATCATTTCGGTAGGTTATGAAATTGCGTCAATATATGCTAAGGCTATCATAATATGATGTGACTCTAAACTTTCAAAATGACAGGATGATCATCAATGACTATTTTAAAGTCAACGACAGTAAAATGTTGAAAATAAGTTTTTGTATATAGCCCTGGTGTCGTGAAAACAGATATACCGAAAGTCAGTGGGGCTATTTGAGACAGGCTCGCTACCTTATGAAGCACACCGTTATGAATCAAACAAGGCAAAGGGTTTCCCAAAACATTTAAGTGGATGGTCTGCATGATTGCTTGTTCCATGGCACATCTCCATGTGAAGAAATAACAGAAACATGTTAAACGGTTTTGATTTTATGCCGATTTTCTTCGATCGCTGCATGTTGTATCAATTGGCCGGTTACCCTACCCTATGCCCTACCACATGAAGTACTTGCATAGGGTCACCTTACAGTACGTTCATGTGTTAACTAACCTTCAATGGTGTTTTTTGGTCAAGTAAGGTAGACATGTATTGATTGTCGACTAAGTCAGTGACTGATGAAGCACATTTTAAGCACATATTCATCGGAATGACTAGTTTGGTCACCAGCTTAAGGGTCGTGTTATACTACGAACATGTAAATATTGCTTGCTGCTAAAAGCACCTACCATGAACCCACTGCACGCTTATGACCACGACCGATTCACCGGTGTTGCTTATGTCGAACGGTCGATGCACTTCAGGTAGGTGGTAAGTC